CTTGTATACGATCTTAAAATCGCCACAACTAATAGAAATCACTCACTTCGAAGTATTCTACAAATAAAAATCATAGAAGAGTATTAAAATCCTTTCTACACAAATTTCCAGCAATATATACCCTCATAATTTAATTAAATAAGCTAAAATTATATTTAAAACATCATACTTTAATCTCAATTAATGGGTAATTGAAATTCCTTACAAAATAACTTGATTTTTAATGCACTACCAAAAATTCCAGCATTATATTTTAATGAAAACTTGTTGTAATTAAGCCTTAAAACACTTTAATCAAAGGTTTAAACCATTATATATCATATTCCTTCAATAACTCATAATTCAAGAACCTAGGGTTTCAAAAATTGGGGCTTTTCAATTAAAAATAAAATCTGAAAATTAATTTACACAATACTCATAACCAAACATCAAAAATCAAATCACAAAACTCATAATTAATAATTAGATCTAGGATTAAACTAGTTTTTAAAACTAAGTTTAATTTTTTTTAATCCGAAAAAGGGGGGTGGCAACGACAGCCACCACGGCAGCTGCCAGCGCCGGTGGCTGCCTGCTGCCGGCGGCTGGCGCTATTGCGGCCGGCGGTCACCGCTGCTGGTGGTGCTTGGCTGTGAGGGGGAGTCGAGAAGGGGAAGGGGGAAAAAGAGAAAGAAAAAGAAAAATAAAGAAAAAAGGAAGAGAAGTTTACCTTGGGTTATCACCACTCTGGGCAAAGTTTGAGTTGCCTCAAGTGTTGAATATTTATACCCCTTCTCTAGAAACCCTTTTCCCTAAACTTTCCTTTTTTAATCTTTCCTAATCCCTTTCCTAATAAAACTTTACTAAAATAAAACTTTCTTAAATTAAACCCCAACTTAAATAAAATAATTAATTAAATAAACTTTCGTTTTATGAAATATTTCTAGACTTATTAAAATGAATACTTTAAATACTTTAAATAAAATATTTCAATTTAATTAAATACTTCTCAAAATATTTATTTTAATTAAATTAAATATGTATAAAATACGAGGTATTACAGCTAGGCTTAACGCCGCCGTTGGGAGGAAATCGTGACGGAAACGGTGAAGTTCGTTAAGGCTGGGTTTCGAGGTCCTTTGTGTTTGGTGCGGTTTACGGTTTGGACGGTGCTCTTCCTCTAGCTAAGTATGTTTTTTCTAAATACTAATCAGAGTTTGCTTGTCATTTTAAGTTGTTGTTATGTTTTCTGGTTGTTTTGGCTATAGCCATTTGGATGGTTGTGTGCTGAAGGAGTTAGGATCCTTTGTTAAGGATCTTAGTTTTGCTATAATGTAAAGAGAGTTTACATGTTATGTTGTTGTTTGGGGGATGAACAGGAAGTTGGCCTTGGCTAAGGTGAAGTGTGTGTTTTGTTGGAGTGGTATTTGATGTCTTCCTTTTACCTTCTTTGTGATGATTGTTGCAATCTTTACTCTTGAAATTTACTATCCGAAGCAGGCACCCAAACTTTATTTTGGGGTTTCACGAGCCTCAACGTTGTCAAAGCTTTCTTACCAACTAGAAAAGCTATTGAAGAAAAGGTCACAAGTTCTAGTGACCTGTTTGAAGACCTTACTTGGTGATGAGTTGATCCCGCCAAGAAAGGAAATGCTAGCCATGGTCAAACAGTTTCGATCCTCTCTGCTACTCTCTTTAGGGTGTGTTTATATTTCTATAAGGACATCATCTGCAATATGTTCGACCAAGTCCAATTTAATGTTGTTTTTTATTTCAAAAGTTGTAAAGGCTTAAGTGTTAAAAGCCAGATTTTTAATTCTCACGTTATTTTAATTTCAAAGTTGGTAGTGGTAAGTCTTAGTTCTTATTTGGTATGTTGTAATCTCTGATTATATAAATATATTTTGCTTTTGTCAAAAAAAAAATGGTGTGGTGATGCACTAATATATTATTATTAAATAACAACAACAACAACAATAATAATAATAATAATAATAATAATAATAATAATAATAATAATAATAATAATAATAATAATAATAATAATAATAATAATGTGGGTTCTTTTCACCCTTTTCAAATAGTTTTCAAAATAAATAATTTAAGTTCGGCAAAAATGTATTCAGTTTAGTAAAAAAAAGTTTTAATTAGTAAAAATACATAACTTTAAATTAAATCAGTAATGATAAATTTTAATTACGAGTAGTAAAAATAACTTAAGTTTAGCTTTGATGAATTAAAATTGTTTTTGTTGAATGAAAATTATTTTTACTAGACTTAACTTATTTGATTTTTTTTTTATTAAAACCCATTTTACAGAACATAACTTATTTTTGTTAAACTTAAATTATTTGTACTGAACTTATTAATATATACTTCGTATAATAATACTAGTGTTGTTAAATAACACTTTATTCTCTCATTTCTAAGGTTTTCAATTGCTACAGTATGTTGGAATATAAAATAAATTTCTTTCAATGGGTATGGGTTTGAATTAGTAGTAATCCCAGTGGACTACCACTCTTATTGCCAGCTACAAATAAGGTTTTTATTTTGCATATATGTCAAACTAACACTTTTCCCGGGATCAGTTTCTCACTCTGCCCTTGTGGCTCTCTAAACACAAAAAATACACTCTTTCAAAACTCTTTACTCATTAAAATTTACGGAAATTTCACCATATACCACTGAGTTTAAGCATAATTCACCGTATACCACCAAAAACTTTTTAATACACCATATACCACTCAGTTATTGTATATTAACACAAAATGCCCTTTTTGCTAACTGTCGTTAGTCTGCCGTTTGGGGGACTTTACCATTATGCCCTTATACATCTAACTGGCGCCATTGATAGGGTTGACTCCCCCAAACATAATTTTTGTAGTTTGAAAAAATTGACCCCCCATTTCCCCTTTCCATTGAAGCTTCTCCCTGTTCTTCTCCATTAAAATCGAACCCCAAAATCAATCAAAAAGCTTCAAACTTTCATCGATCCAAGGTCGACGTTGCCAGTATGTTTTCAATTTGGGGCTTGTGATTGGAAAAAGAACGAACTTGGTGAAGTTTGAGAGAGAGGAAGTTGTTCTTGACTGAATTTCGGTCGTAATTCGCACCTGGGCTCGATCAAGCTTTCTGAAGGTAAAATTATCCTTTTCAATTTGTTTTTCGAGGCCTGATTTTGCTGTTTATTGCGAAATTGAGTTAGGGTTAGGGTTTGTTCGACATTGATTATGTGAGTGTGGTTGTTATGTTATTATGTGCGAATGATGTGTTGCATGCGATTTATAAGTAAGTTTGTTGTTAAGTATGATGTGTTTTGTATGATGTGTTGGTGTGTGTTGTTAATTTTTGTTGTGTATTATTCATGAATAGGATGAGTGCACTTTGGCTGTTAGTTCGTTCGCCTGGTGGTACTTTTGATGTTAGGGTAGATGATACTGATAAGACAAATTTGATGGAGTTATTTGAGTATATGTTTGAGGATTCAGTGAAGCAGAATGTTTTCCTCCCTAAGTACTTCACTTTGTTTGTGAGTAAACCTAGAACTAATCGTAAGCTGGAGTTAGTGGATGATGGGGCAATGTTGAAAATGTGGGAGTGGAATGAAGGGAAGGATGAAATTGAAGTGTTCATAGAAGAGACACAAAACCCATCTGTTGTCTTTCAGTCTGCAGAAGCTAGTTGGGCTAGAACTGTGAAGAATAGGGCTGACCAAATTAGGCAGAAGGAGGAAGAGAGAAGGAGAAATGCAGAGGCTGAAGAAGTTGAGGAGGAGCTTAATGCTCAAGTACCATATACTGTTGCTGTAGAGGTCCCTGTTGTGAATGCAGAAGATGATGTGCTTGAATATGTGAGGGTATTCCACACTACAGCAGCTGATGAGTCATTTCCAGGAGATTCTCAGCCTCAACCTTCACAAAATGAACCATGTCAACCCTCAAATGAAAAATGTAAGACACCATCACCACCCAAAAAAAATCCTAGAAGGAAAAAAGTAACTCCAAGGAAGAAAAAAACCCAACCTTCACAATCTACTCAACCAACTCAGCCTCCATCTCCACCAAATGTTTCTCAAGAGCACCCTTCTCCACCAACAACATCAACACACCATGCTTCCCCCCCCCCCACCCAGGCAACCTACACCACCACCCCCACCCAGGAAACCTACACCACCACCCCCACCCAGGCAACCTACACCACCCCCACCCCCACCACCACCACCCCCACCACCACCTCAACCAAATACAGCTGCATCAAGGCAACCAACCAAAACTAGGGGTGCTTCTAGTTCTGCAGCAAAGCCTAAAGAACAAACAAGGGTTAAACCAGCTGAATGGAGGGTGCCTAGAAGCACAACAAAGAAGTATGGTGTTGAGGTTGGGAAAAACAAAAGAGGAGGGAGGGAAATCAATACTAGGAGCAAAAAACCTATGCTTGTTCAAGAAACTGACAGTGAGTCTGATCCATAGCCATTTGATGATAGTGATGACGATGACTATGAATTTTCTGAAGATGAGGGTGATATGGAGATGGACTTGAACCTTGATGATGACTACATTGTGGAAGAGGATAACCTAGCTGATAACATACCAGAGAAGACATTTGAAGATTACCTAGATGGATCTCATGCTCTGGACAAGATGTACAGAAATGGCAAGGTTTGGGCTAACTTACCATTTGGGTCAACTCAGGTAGAACCTTGGTTAATCTTTGAAAACAAAACACAATTTCATGAGGTATTCAGAGATTTTTGCATACAAGAAGGCTTTGCAGTGTCAGTTGACTATGCTGACAATTACAGATATACAACTACGTGTCTGATCAGTGACTGCAATTGGAGGATTCATGCAGCAGTTCTTGTTGATAAGGTGAGCTGTGCTATTAAGAAGCTAGAAGGTGAACATAGAACTTGTGGGAGGCTGGAAGAGAACCCCATGGTCTCTTCAGCATGGCTCTATAGATAGTTGAGGCAAGACTTAGAGGCAAACCCTGAGACTCCAGTTGAATCATTATAAAGAATGTGCCTGGAAAGGTTTAGGATCCAAGTGAAGCTCAGATTGTTTTATAAAGTGAAGTGTTTAGCCAGGGAGCAAATTCATGGTGGTTTTGCAGAGTCTTATGCAATTTTACCAAAATATGCAGAGATGATTAAAGCCACAAATACTGGCTCATATGCTCTAATCACATGGACTGACAATGGGGTTAATGGTACCAAATTCAAGGCATGTTTCTTCTCTTTTGCAGCTCAGGTGAAAGGGTTCTTGAGTGGTTGCAGACCCATTATAGGGATAGATGGTGCACATCTAAGTGGGTATTACAAAGGAATTATGCTCACTGCAGTAGGCATTGATGGTAACAATGAAATTTTTGTAATAGCTTATGGATTGGTGGATACAGAGAGCATAGACAGCTGGTCTTATTTCTTCAGAAACCTAAGACACTTGTTTGCCCAGAATGGTTGCCAGAAGGAAGACTGGACTTTTATAAGTGACAGGATGAGGGTTAGTGTCTTGCTTTTTTTTTGTAATTCAACTTTGCTTCTCTTATGTGAATGACCACTAACCAAGTGTTTAATCTTCCATGAAGGGTGTTGAACCAGCCCTTTTTGAAGTGTTCCCAAGGGCAACAAGGAGAGTCTGCTGTCAGCATCTGTACTCAAATTGCAAGACTGCTGGATGGAGTGGGACAGAGTTCCATAAGCTATTTTGGATTGCAGCCAATGCCTATAATGAGTATGTGTATGACAAAGCAATGTCAAAGATAAAGAAGTATGATGCAGCAGCATTTGAGTACCTAACAAATATTGAAGAGCAGTGGACTAGGCACAAGTTTGACAAAGTTGTTTGTTGTGATCATAACACAACAAACTTTGTTGAGTCATTCAACTCAGTTACAAAGGACAACAGAGACATGCCTGTGTTCACTTTACTGGAAGGTATTAACTGACACTTTATTTCATGAGTTCAGTTGGTACTTTATTTCTTGTTCTGATATCTGTGAATTTGTTTGTGCTGTATTTGTTTTTTTTTTTGTTTTTTTTTTTCAAAAACTGAACCAGCTGTCAGGAATTGGTGCATGAAAAGAATGGGTTCCAGGTTTGACAAAGCAATTGACATGGACCCTAATGAGCTGACAGACCATGCTAAAGAGGTTTTGGAGACAAGAAGTGAAGAGTCAAGGTTGTGCCATGTAACAACAGCTGGTGGGAGAGAGTTTGAAGTCAGGGATGGCCATGTCAAGTTCCCTGTCACACTCCAGACTATGACATGTGGGTGTGGGAAATGGCAGGGATCAGGGATACCATGCAGGCATGGTCTTAGGGTCATCTACAGCCAGAGACTACAGCCAACAGATTTTGTGTCACCATACTACAAGGGGGCTGCGTATAAGATGACTTATGGAGACCATATCCACCCTATGGCTGATCCTACTCATTGGCCTGCATTTGATGTACCTGAAATTTTACCACCAACTGTCAAAAGAACTGCAGGCAGACCAGCTAAGCAGAGAAGAAGAGCCCATCATGAAGCAAGGAAAGGAAAGAGGCACAAGAACAACAAATGCAGTGTTTGCAAGGAATTGGGACACAATGCCTTAACCTGTAAGGCAAGAAAGGAAGCAGCAAAAAAGGCACAAGATGCAGCAACCTCTTCACAGCAAGCCAAAGGAAAGGGGAGGAAGAGAAAGGCTGACAGTCAGCAACCTTGAAGCTGCCATGCATGATGTGTCAACTTTGTTTGAGGATAATTTTTTAAATTTTTTGTTAAGTTTCTGGTTTTTTGCTCAACAAACTGTTAAGTACTTGGTTGTTTTTTAGGGATTACTATTTGACCTTAAGTGTTAATGCACAATTATGTGGCCATAATTTTTGGAATGATAATGCACTTTGATTACAATAATCATTTCAAGGCTACATATAACTAATGTGTTTAGAAGAGTGACCTGAAACATGAATCCCTCACGCCCAGCTTTTATATAGACAAAGTAGCTGTTATCAATGTGCAACGGCTATTTTTTTTCAAAAAAAGTTACCGTTTTAAAAAAGTGGTATCCTGTGAATTAACCTTAAACTACATGGTATATGGTGAAATTACTTATAAATTAATGGTATATGGTGAATTAGTAAAGTCCCCCAAACGGCAGACTAACGGCAGTTAGCAAAAAGGGCATTTTGTGTTAATATTCAATAACTGAGTGGTATATGGTGTATTAGAAAGTTTTTGGTGCTATACGGTGAATTATGCTTAAACTCAGTGGTATATGGTGAAATTTCCGTAAAATTTATGCAGGGATTTAAGATGGATTTTGATCTAAAGAAGCAAATCAAGAACACAAGGTTGCTGCAGAGTGAAGAACTGCACAATGTTAGTCTTGCACTCGATATCGCTTTCTGAGTTATTGATACTATGTTGATCTTCTTTGGCTTACAATACTGAATTAATGGTTGATGTTGCATTCATTTGGATGCAGTATATTCTTGAAACTAGTGTTTATCCACGCGAAGCAGAACCCCTGAAGGAGCTAAGGGAAGCAACTGAAAATCACCCTAAGTAATACAGCATTCCTTTTGTAATATCATAGCTGAAGATTATTATTCTATACAAATTTGGTACTCATTTCCTCTTCACTTTGAAGGTCCTACATGGCTGGTGCACCAATTGCAGGACAAATGATTTCATTCCTTCTGAAGAAGGAGAATGCTAAAAAAACTATTGAAGTTGGAGTGTTTACAGGATACTCCCTCTTGCTAACCGCTCTTTCGATCCCGGATGATGGAAAGGTTAACTTATTGCATACATCTTCTTCTTAGTTCTTTCTAGCTATCACGTCGTGTTAATCTCTTGTAACTAAAAGCCTATGATGTTGAGTTATATAATTCTTTATAATTGCTTATCAATTTCTATAGCCTACTTCTGTTTGTTTTGTTACAACAGATTGTTGCAATTGACTGTGATAGAGAAGCATATCAGATTGGCTTACCATTCATCAAGAAAGCCGGTGTTGAAGACAAAATCGACTTCATTGTATCAGATGCTCATCTAGCTCTTGATAATCTTCTCCTGAATGTAAGCGAACGATTCCATAAAACATCTCCACAATATTACAAAATAGTTTTAAGTTCAAAAGCTTTTCATCAAGATCTAACAAAGCTGCTCTAGACTACATTGCTGTAATAACTTCATACGCTCATAAATTTAGACTCGACTAGTCCTTTAGTATTGTTTCATGTAGGAAACAATTGCCCTGAATATGGTTGATCTTTTCAAAAGATATGATGCCTACTGTCTTTGCTTAGATTATGACTTAGCTGACGCATTACCTTGTTGATTGACTACAGGCAAAAAATGAGGGTAGTTTCGACTTTGCCTTCGTAGATGCGGACAAAACTAGCTACCTGAATTACCATGAGAGGTTGATGAAGCTCGTCAAGGTTGGGGGTGTGATTGCTTACGATAACACACTTTGGGGAGGAACAGTGGCCGTGCCTGGATCACATGTACCAGACTCCATGAAGAAGAATCGAGAGGCCGTTATCAAGTTGAACAAGTCCCTGGCTGCTGATTCTCGCATCGACATTGCTCATCTTCCTCTTGGTGATGGCATCACTTTTTGTAGGCGTCTCATTTGATCTACTGTCTTTATGCTTCTTATATTATTTCAATGGAGGAGCATACAATTGCACCCATCGAACAAATTTTTAGCAAGTGTAATAATGCATTCAATGCAAAGTATTTGAGTTTTAGTACTTGTCTTTCATATTTTTTCCAACAAAGCAAATAAGGTTTCCTACAAGAACAATATTTGGAGATTTTAAATCTCTGTAGAATGATGTGTGAGATTAGCTCAACAAGACAACAATGATGTTTAGTTTTACACAGGCGTCAAGAAACCAGAGTTCAACAATTCTGCTTATATATCTGTCCACCAGATTGGCGGGTGCAAGATGGATAAGTGAAACAACAGAAGCACTACCATAATCGATTGTTTTTACGGTAAAATTGTAGGTATCAAGTTTAATCACCCTTGCAGAAATGTGGAGAGTGAATATCAAAATCTACCTCCTCTGTCAACATTTAAGCTAGCCTCTCTCACTCTCTTTTTAGCTGCAAAGGTCTCTGCGACTAATAGTGGGAAAGCAATAGTGGCATCACAATGCACCTGAACACCAAGGTCATTGCTAATTAGGACATGAAAAAAAATATGGGACACAAAAGTAAAACTTCAAGAAAAGAAGATATATGCAAATACACAAACCTTAACGGTTATAGCAGAACCTCGGATTTTTCCCCAGGAGACGGCCTCATCAGGACGAGCACCAGAATCACTGCCATCATACTCCTGGGCAGTGTTAATGAAAGCTGCATAATCTGCCCCATTTCGCATCATATTTGCATTACAAATGTGATGTTTAGGCAACCCTCCACCAAGAATTATCATTCCAGTCTTCCTGGGGCTCGCATGAACAGCCTCACCATTCATGGCTTTTATATCTACATATGACCATAAAATATTTGTAAGCAAATTATATTGGAAGATGTCGTACATCAGATTAACAAGAAAATAACTGACCTTGAACAATGTCGATAATTAAACCTGGAGTCCGAATTGAATGAAAATACAACATGTCTCCCAGTGAGCCGTCTGTCAAACCTGGGCAGTATACTGGAATATTATTCTGAAAATTTATGCATGAAGTGAAAGCTGAATCAGTTAAACGCTATAGGAAGATATAATACAATAACTTTTTCCATGATAATCTACTATCCATCAACCACCACCTGCTACAGATACTTTTCTTGATTTAGATTTAGATTGACCATTGCTCCAATTTAGCAGGAACTAGTAAAACTGCTTCAAATAGACTTTTATTGAAGATTTCCATTGTGTAAACAGTTAAACATCACAAGCATAGTCTCGCTACTAAAGAGCATTTAGACTTTTGTTGAGTTTAAGATAGTTTTTTGATAGTATTACTAGTCACAGCAGTGTTTTCAGCAATACTTCAAATTAAATATGAAGATAAGCATGAATGATCGTTACATGAACTGACAAACAGGCTTCTAAGTTTGGTATTAATGTGCATTGAAATTGAGCAACATAGAAAATGAACACCTTTGCGCACAAGTTGACCAAAACTTAAAACGGATTAATATGGAGTAACATTATTTTATGAGAATCAATGGGGGGAAAAGCCAAGCCAAGCCTAACCTCTAAATGAGTAGATTTTTCACCTTGTATGCCCAATAAAGGTATGAGCTCTCATTATTTATTTCTTTACCCAAACGAGCAATCACCTTAGATGGCGTCCATGTTATCTTCTGCATTCAGAAATTTTTGAGAAATATGAACTTAAATAAATAAATAGAACATAACTGACAAGTGCCAACAAAGAAAGCTTGAAAACATATAATTAATGACAGGGATGAAGTAAATCTAGGGTTATGTTGTACTTGAGGGAAAAAAATAAATAAATAAATAAATAAATACAAATAAAAATAACAGCCACACTCCGGAACACAAAAACAGAACAAAAATATCTCATTGGGGATCAATTCATCAGATAACAGACAGCAATAGTTAAGAATTTACCTCTTTAATTTGCTCTTCTAGCATTTTATCAAAAATTGGAACAATCCAATCCTCAAATTTGCAGTAGTTGTCATTTGGAACCAATAAATTACCAATGCGATTCAATCCTTTTGAGCGTAACTGAGCTCCAGGTAAAGAAAATTCGCCTTTGAATGTAGGTGCAAGACATTTAACAAGATCCTCTTCTATACCACCGGTAGTTGTTACAATGACATCAACCTGAACATGTGCAAATGCCTGACCTTTGAGTGCAAATAATCTAATCTTAGAAAGTTGGGTAAAAAAGATGCTAAACACGTTACTTCATACAAGGCCATGATGGAGAGAAGAAACAGTTATGTGAGCAAAATAACAGGTCACAACGGAATCAATCAGCTAAAAATTCAAATCACATAGCCAACAACTCTCTATTTTAGGCCCCCAAGACACATATCTAATACGAAATTTCTCTAAAAAAAAAGAGGGGGGGGGGATTAAGAAGGTTTGAACCAAGCCCCTAAGGTTTGCACGAAATTTTCTCTATCTATTTCCCCTATTCTTTTGGTGTTCGAAGTGGACATCTACATCCCAAAGTCTACATTATTAGTACAGCCGTGCAGGAAAAAGACATTATGGAAGTAACAAAACTTATGTAATGATGCCGTGAAGGGTTTCCAGAAAAAAGGGCTACTTCAAATCACACTTCTTCCAAGCAATAATGTGGTGAAAGACTGAAAGGTTCCTACCTTTATATAGGCCTTCTTACAGTTCTCTATCAAATAGTATAACTCAAATATGAGACAGCCACTAATATCCCAATTAACATTGATTCAGTCAAACAATTAAGAGATAGGATGCCATTTAAATTGTTGTGAATGAATAAATAAAAAACAACCTCTCAAAATCTCAACAATTAACAGATTGCAATCTCTGAGCTATAAGTCACTTGCTACTGCACAATCTTCTCTCTTGGAAAATACTTTCTTTCACCCAATAACCCAAGACTATGTTAAGCATAGGATATACTGAAGGAAACAAGTCAAATACCCCACACAACTAAGTTCCACCTCTTCACATATTCAAACAACATTTTGAAAAAAAAAAAAAAAAATCAACAAGGCTAATAATATCTAAACATTAATCTCACCATATGATGCTGAGTAAGATATCGAACAGTGTCACGAACACCAGAAGATATAAGATTCGAGGTAAAACCTAAAAACACTTTGCACCCCACGGATTCCCTATAAACAGGATCCTTCTCTTCCTTGCTGCAATCATCATCGGGTATCTCATTTGCCAGCCGCCAATCTAGCTTGAACCACACAAAACACACAAATGAACACAAAACGAAAACGAGCAGAGCAACACCTAAAACTGTTACACAGCTTAAAACTCAAGCTAACCATTTGATTTACAACATCGATAGCATCACCGAGATTAGATGCTTGGAAACCGGTTGAGACAAACGATTTCAAAAGCTTGGGATAATTCACTCCTTGATTAAAATCATAACCCTCAATCTTAATACATTTCCCTTCAAGGGTTTTTGATTCCTTGAACACAACAGAACGAACCGACGCCATTATATCATTATCATCCATATCTCAACACCTAGAATACCAATTAGAATGAATGAATTGCATAAAATCAATAATTCTCAATTTCTCACTGCCTTTACATAACAAAATTTCACAAAAACCCTTTATAAAAGCTAAATGAACCTTATGAAATGAATTGGACAGAGAATCTCAAAAGAAAAGAATACTTTAGATTTATAATAGAGGAATAAAGTAAAGTAAAGCACAGCAATTAACAATGGTGCAGGGTAACTAAGAAAGAACAGACCTTTGAAGAAAGAAAAAAAAAAAAAAAAGAAGAAGAAGAAAAGGGTACATTACCTTGCCGCAGGATCAAGTGTCTGGTCGTGCTTGACTCCGGCTTCTGTTGGCTCAGCGTTGCCGGATTATGCTTGTGCGCGGTGTCGCCGGCGGCTTGTGTTAGGTGAGAAGGGAGGTGATGAGGTGTCGGAGGTAGAATAAAGTTTGGGGTCGGGGATTGACCACTAAGGTGATCAAGAGTTCGAGCCGAGTAGAGTCGAGCCGGGTTGGCCAGGACTTAACATTAAATCACTTATCCAAATCCGTAAAGGCTTTTTAGGCTGGATTTGAATTTTCCCTACCTTATAAAAAAATCACTTTTTTACACTTTTACCTTCATTAGGGCAGCCAACGCGCGTTGTGCGCGGAATGGCTTGCCTTTGCAACTTAATTTTACTTGTCTTGTGTTTGCACTTCACATGGAGGAATAAAAGACCGGCAAAGGAATATATTTCTATTGGTTCGACATTGTTTGTTTATAGCCGTCCTAAGTTAAATGTTACATGTGAAATATCTCATATATTGAAAAAAAAAATCTTTATTTTTATTATTTGTATATGGTGATTCTTTTAACTGGAATACTATGTAGAGTTACAGTAGAATATAATTCTTAGGTTTTTCAATGATAATGCTGAAAAGGAACAAATGTTAAAATTGTGGTTTGTTTATTTTTGCAATGTTGATATTAGCATTACTTAATTGTGGTGGTGCAATATGAAATAGAGAAAGAATCATCAATGATGAAACCGGAACGACCAATTCCTAATCCACCACAGAGGCTAACAATATTAATCAATGAGTTCATTTTATCCATCACAAAGGCTAACAATATTAATCAATGAGTTCATTTCTAATTTAAAAGTACAATCCTTCTAGATGAAACCAAAACAACCAATTCCTTCACACACTTATGCCCAACCGTACATGATAGGTATATATATTATACTAAAGCGAACTATATCCACCTACCAAGCCCAGTCTAACCAATGAGTTCTTAGACTTAAGAAGTCCTGGATAGTGTATAGTGACTAAATTCAAGTCCAGATTAAATTATGAAATTAATCTTATCTTACACTGATGAATTGCTCATATGCTAAAATAATGATCTTTAATAGAATCCCAATGTGATCATATCATTACAGGTTATGAAGTTCAAAATCCATAGTAGAATGTTCTTAACATAATGAAATCCTGTTTTAAATCTATGGACTTTGCTCCCAGAAAATCCGGCCGCCCTCTTCCACCACCTCCCCCTCTCCCCTCTCCCTTCTCGAGGCCCCT